ACCTGCTGGGCTGAGGCAGAAGGATCGCCGGAATTACAGGTGCGCACTACCACGCCCGGCTAATTTTTGATTTATTGTAGAGATGAAGTCTCGCTGCCCAGGCGGGTCTCGAACCCACGGGCTCAGGTAGTCCATTCACCTCAGCCTCCCAAAGGCGCGGGATTACAGGCTGAGCCACCGAGCCCAGCTTTTTTTTTTTGAGTTGGAGTCTCACTCAGTCGCCCAGACTGGAGTGCAGTGGCTGCTCCCGGCCACCGCAGCCTCGAGCTGCTGGGCTCCGGCAATCCTTCCACCTCAGCCTTCCGAGTAGCCGGAATTACAGGCGCGCGCTACCACGCCCGGCTAATTTTTTGATTTTACTGTAGAGATGAGGTCTCGCTGCCCGGGCGGGTCTCGAACCCGCGGACTCAGGCAATCCACTCACCTCAGCCTCCCAAAGGCACGGGATTACAGGCTGAGCCACCGAGCCCGGCTTCAGCTGTTTCTTAAATGACATTTTAAAATAAAGTTCAGACTCTTCATCACCTTAGTTGCCTGAGTGTTTACAGCTCTTTATCTAAATCGGAACATCTCAGATACACTCTATTTAGTACAAGCTACAGGGGGGAGCATGGCTACTATTTTACTGTACTCTATATCTCTGTTCTTAAAGCCTAAGATCACATTAATTGGTGTAGTTGGTTTTTTAATTGAGAACTTTATCCTTGTAATTATCATATTGTTAATTTGGTTTATTATTTAACTTGATAATGTTATTTAGCCTCTTGACCATTTCTTATATCTTTGTATTGTACATTTAAAAAAATTATTTTATTTTTAATTTTTTTAAGAGGCAGAGTCTCACTTTGTTGCCTAGGCTGGAGTGCAGTGATATGTTTAGCTCGCTGCAGCCTCAGCCTCTTAAGTGCAAGCCAATCTCCCCACCTCAGCCTCCCGAGTAGCTGGGACCACAGGCACTCACCACCACACTCATCTAATTTTTAAATTTTTTGTAGAGACGAGTTCTTGGTATGTTGCCCAGGCTGGTCTTGAACTCCTGGCCTCAACTTGTCTTCCCATCTCAGCCTCTCAAAGTGCTGGGATTACAGGTGTGAGGCACCATGCCTGGC